AGGCATGTTCTGAAATGGGCGGGGGGATGCCACGCGAAGCTGCCCATTGGTGCCATTGGGGGACTTCCTCCTGGGGCATGATTCGCGTGGCATGTGTGCCGGCATGGGTGGGGGGGCGAACCTTGTCTCTGGGCCTGTAGGTTGTGCTCCTTGTGGGCGCGATCCGCATGATGGGGTGTTCCACAATGGCGAGGGGGGGCGCAGTGCGAACCCTGCCTCTGGGGCCTTAGGTGGAGATCCCTGTGGGCCACGATCCGTGTGAGAGGGGTGCCGACGTAGGCGGAAAGACTGGATGCGAACCTTGTCTGGGGCCGTCCCTGGAATTGTTTGCGGGCCACAATCTGTGTGAGATGGGTGCCGAAGTGAGCGGGGCGGCGCTATGAAGCTCCCCCATGGTGCGGCAAATGCACTTAGTTGCGAGGCGCGATCCGCGTGAAGGGCGTGCCCATATGCGAACCTGGCCCCTGGGGGCGAAAGTGGAGCTCCCTGTGGGGCGCGATTCTTGTGAGAGGTGTGCCGACGTGGGCGCGGGGACGCTACGCCAACTCCGTCTTTGGGGGTTCCTGAGTGGCACGGCCCGTGTGACAATAAAGGCTCTCCGATGCCGCACACTTCGTAGACTACAGCTCGTGCTTGCCATAACCTCAGCGCGAACGAAGTGCGCGTGGTTCTAGCGCGTACATATACATACATATATATATATATATATATATATGTATGTATATATTTACATATATGTGCGTATACGCATCTATGCATGTATATAGATATGTATACATACGGCAGTCCAGTCAGGCTGAGTTAGACCCCCTTCCCCGCCCCCTTTTTTTTTCATCCGTGTAAAACAACACTATGCGTGCGCGCTCTTCTAGCATAGCTTTTTCACTTACAAGCAACTTCTGTACCCGATGCGGCGAAGTGCACACGCGCGTCATCGCGCGCGCAAGACGAGATCTTTCAGCAGCATTCGGTTGCGAGCGTTTCGAAAACGTGCAAAAACAATTGGTTTAGAATCATGGTCTTTCCGAAGAGTCTACGCGCTTGCGAATCCTTGAGGGAACCATCGGTTACCATGATTTTCAACACATCGGGCCCATCGCGCGCGCATGCCAGATTGCTTTGAACGCCTTGGTGCGCGTGCTGGGGGAGTGGGGGTGGGGCGCGGTCCCTGTCCAATAGTACCTTGCGGCCCACCCGCTCGCGTCGGCCGCGCGGGCATGTCGAAATTCGCCCAAGACCGCCATCGCCAGCACATGGACGCCATCACCGTCATCGGCGTGATCAGCATCGGCGTCGGCATTGGCCTTGCCGGCGTCGCAGTCATCATCGTCGATCGCATCGCCGCTATCCTCGTGGTGCGTGCTGTTGTCGACGTCGCCATGATACCACGCGACCGCGCCCGCTTGAGCCACCGACTCAAGGTGAAGTGCCCGCGCGTCAATGCGGCCTGCGAGACGCGCTGTGAGGTGCCCAGCGATCGACGCTACCGCGGCCCCGTCGGTCGCGCCACGGTAGATGGCCGCTTTCCGCGCGAGTTTGCGCGCGTTGGCGCGTCCGCAGCGACGTGCAATCGCCGCCGCAGGGGCTTGGGTGGGTGGAGTGGACACCTCATTGTCGGCAATGCGGCCTGCGCCAAATAGATTCCCCATGTAAAAGGTCAGAGTCTACCCCCGCCCCACCCCAGGATTATCCGTGCCCCTTTTTGGCCGCATTCCAATTTACATTCGACTTTGTCACGCAGTCGATCCTACATATCAACTCGCACCATCTCAGCCCAACTGGCATCGACCCACCCACCCCCCACCCCCGCCATCCTTAGCAAGACACGCAGTGCGCGCGCGCTGGTTTATCACAAGTCAGACATGTTCAATAACCGCTTGCAGAAAATGCGACGATGTGCACCTGCGCGCGTCGTCGCGCGGGCATGCCGAAAATTGCTCAAAAACCTTAAGTTTCGTAAGGTTGCCAAATCGAATGTCCAAGCATAGAAATGAATGGTTTCGCAGCGCTGCTTTGTAATAAAAACTTGCGCGCGTTCCTGCGACATCTTACGAGTACCATTCATTGTTCCGCATTCTCATAAAATGCTGCCAAACGGGCCTCTCGCGCGGTTGCCGAAATCGTTCGAACGCCTGCGCGCGCGTGCTGTCGCGAGTGTCTGTGTGCAAAAAAGGTGCGAGGTGCATGCGCGCGCGTCGTCGCGCGCTCGTGTCAGGGTAGTTCAACAATTTCAGGCCCCGCGGGGATTTCGAAACCGAGTGTCCCGAAACCACATAGACATAGTTTTCCAACACCAGTGTTCAAACCTGCGCTCGCGCTCCAGGTTCTTCAAGACTGGAATGGAATTCTGCGCATGAGCCCTCTAGCGCCACATTCCGTATTCATTCGAACGCCCGTGCGCGCGCGCTGGGGGGGGGGGGGCACGATCCGCGTCGCATGATGCCGCGCGGCCACTTTCGCGCGTCGACCGCGCGCGCATGTCGAACTCCTTCCAAAACCTTCATCGCCGACGCGAGGGCGCTGTCATCGCCGCCGGCGCGCTCAGCATCGGCGCCGTCACTGGCCGCGACAGCGTCGTTGTTGCCGCCGCTGGCCGCGCCGTCGCCGCCGTCAAAATAGCCGCCAGCACCGCTAGTATCATCGCCGCGTCTATCGTCGTTGACGCGGCCATGATACCGCGCCCGCCCAAGTCGCCGACTCGCACGGAAAGCAACCGCTGGGGCGCGCCCGGCGGTCGGCGCCACCGCGGCCGCGTCGGCCGCGCCGAAGCATCTGGCCGCCGCGAGCGGGCGCGCGCGGGCCGACGCGACCGCGGAGATGCACCAGCCAGCGCCAAGCGTTCATCGCAATCGTCGCCGCGTGCGTTTTGCAAACCAAGTTGCGGGTGGGTGGGCGTGATGCGCGCGCGAGCGTTGGGTTTGTTAACGCGCTCGTAAAGATAAATTCATTTCTCATAAGAGGATAGACTCGACCCCTCCCCCCCAGGATTATCCACCCTCCTTCTCGCGTTGCCACTGTTATGCGATTCCACCCCGTTGCCCATCTCAAGTATGAGTTCGCGCCGCCCGAGCCGAGCCGGCGTCGCCGCCCGCCCGCAATCTTTTGCAACAAATGCCACGCGCGCTTCCGTATCCCCAAATCATCAGTTTTCAAGCGCCCGTTGCAACCAATGAGACGAAGTGCAAGCGCGCGCACGTTGTTGCGCGCGCGTTCCGGCACCCTTCGAAACCATCGGTTTCGCGAGGAGCTTAACATCAAATGCCCAAAAACAGAAAAAATTGGGTTTCGCATCGCGGATCTCCCCCAAGCAAAATCTCGCGCGCGCGATTTTGCGAACTCGTAAGAAAACCGTCGGTTTTCAAGAATAGCTGAAACTGCTACCAAACGGGCTTCGCGCACGCGCGCGTCGAATTTTTTTCGAACGCCCTTGCGCGCGTGCCGTCGCGAGAATCCGTGGCAAGAAATGGGCCGAAGTGCGCGCGCGCGTCGTCGCGCGCCTGCTGAAACCCGTAAAAAATTGGTTTCGTAGCGATGTCAAAGCCGAGCGCCCAAACCAACGCATAAAAACATGCGGTTTTCGCAGCATCAGTTTTCGAGACAAGCACGCGCTCGCGCTCTTGCGAACTCTTTTGCGCACCACCGGCTTTGCAACATGTTTATGGAATTTCTCCAAGCGGGCCTGTGGCACCGCGTGCCAACATCATTCGCGCGCCCTCGCGCGCGTGCGAGGGGGGCACGATTCGTGTCAAATAACCCCACGCGGGCCACTCTCGCGCGTCGGCCGCGCGTACACGTCGAACTTTTTCCAAAACCTGCATTCCCGACGCGAGGACTCCGTCGTCGTCTCCGGCGTGATCAGCATCGGCGCCCGCACTGGCCGCGCCGTCGTTGTTGCCAAAATCGCCAACAGCATCGCTACTATCATCGTCGTATCTACAGTTGTCGACGTTGCCATGATACCGCGCCTACCCAATTCGCCGACTCGCATTGAAAGTTCCCGCTGGGATGTACCCAGCGGTCAACGCCACCGCGGCCGCGTCGGTCGCGCCAAAGTAGCTGGCCGCTGCGAGCGGGCGTGCGCGGGCTGACGCGACCGCGGAGATGCACCAGCCAGCGCCAAGCGTTCATCGCAATCGTCGCCGCGTGGGTTTTTGCAAACCATGTTGCGGGTGGGTGGGTGGGATGCGCGCGCGAGCGTTGGGTTTGTTAACTCGCTCGTAAAAAATAGTTTTTCTAATGAGAGGATCTCGCCCCCCCCCCCGGGATTCTCCACCCTCCTTTTCGCATTGCCATCGGCATACGATGCCACCCCACTGCCTATCCGAAGTCTGAGTTCGTACCGTCCGAGCCGAGCGGGCATCGCCCTTCGCCCCCATCTTTTGCAACAAATGCCACGCGCGCTTTCGTTGCCAAAATCACCACCAGCACCTCTACTATCATCATCGTGTCTACTGTTGTCGACGTTGCCATTATACCGCGCCTGCCCACTTCGCCGACTCGCAGTACGGTGCCTGTTGGGGTGTGCCCAGCGGTCAGCGCCACCGCGGCCGCGTCGGTCGCGCCAAGCTGGTTGGCCGTTGCGCGCGCATGCGCGGGCCGACGCGGCTGCAGAGATGCACTAGCCATCGCCGGGCACTCATCGCAACTCCCGCTGCATGTGTTATTGCAAACCAAGTTGTGGGTGGGTGGGTCCGATGGTTGCGCCAGCAGTGGAGGTGGTCAAACGCGGCGCAAAGAAGTCAATTTCACCACATGGACCATTCAACGTGGATCGCACCGCGTAGTTTGCGCCACTGACGCTGCCCCACTTAGCTGTCGCCACGCATGTTGCATCATATTGTAGGATAAAGTACACAGTGGGGCCCACGCAATCTACATATGCAAATACATGCGTAGCATGAATACATGTTCGTGTACATGTACACATACGGGCGCTCTTCTAAGCCAGCGCCCGCGTCGCGTTCGCGGTCCCGCAGCCCCGACCCCGAAGCCGGCGCGAGGTATTCTTTGATCAGCCGGGAGCTCATCGCGGATTCCATCGAAACCATGCACGAAGGATGGGTCCTTTCCCCTCCACGTTCTCGTGTTTTTGTATCGGCATACGTACATCTATATAAACTTTCGGAATTCCGCGCGGATCTCGTGAATTACCTTGCTCCTTCTGCGGCGCCTCCGGCGCCGCCCCTGGCGAGCGCGTCGGGGAGGGGTGTCAGGCGCCGGTGCACGAAGTCCGCGCGGACCTCCGAACATTGATTATTACGCCTGCTGTTGTTTTTCTTTCGTCGTCGCTGCCTGTACCCCTTGGAGATGGATTGACACAGGGTCGCAGAGTCACAGGGCCGTGGCGTGCCGCGAAACTTTTTTTAGCGATGGGGAGAAGGCGGGCCCTTCTATGCGCCTGTGGGGTGCCGAAGATGGGCACGTTGTGGGTTTTTGTTTCCTAGTTGAACGGGGACTTTCTGATTGTTCGGTGTCTTCCAGCTTCTGTTCCCCCATATGTTTCGTTGGGTTTTGGTTTTGTTCCCTGCCGCGTCCCACCATCGAAGCTGACACACCTCACATCCCCCTTCTCCCGTTGCTTCTCGCCTGCACTCGTCCAGCATACATACACACAGCACACATGAAGCACACGTACATACAGCACACGCACACACCACACATTATACGTAACACCCCGCAATTGCGGATAAGAGTGATGGGGGCGGGCGCGGGCGACGCGGGCGTCGTCGAGCCGGCGGACCTCGTGGCCCCCACCTTCCCTGTCGATGGCGTTCTCCTCCTCCTCCTCCTCCTCCTCCTCCTCCTCGTCCTCGTCCTCATCGTCATCGTCATCGTCATCGTCATCCTCCTCCTCCACCTCGTCCTCCTCCTCTTTTTCCTCGTCCTCCCTCTCCCCCCCTCGTCCTTTCATCATCGTCCTCCCATTGTCGTCCTCCCCCTCATCGGCCTCCATCATCGTCCTCTCATTGTCGTCCATCATCATCATCATCCTCCCCCTCCTCGTCCTCGTCCTCCCCCTCCTCCTCCTCCCCCTCCTCCTTCCCCTCCTCCCCCTCTGCATTGGTTTGTTCAGTGAACGTGGTTTGGGTCGCGGGTGGGTCGCGGGCTCTCCACCTCCACCTGGAAGGAATGCAAAAGCAGCCCGCCGCAGGCGCCAAAACATTTGGTTTGTATACTGAACGTGGTGTGGGTCGCGGGTGGGCCGCGGGTTCTCCACCGGGAGCGAATGCAAAAGATGCCCGCCGCAGGCGCCGAAAAATGTGGTTTGTGCCCTGAGCGTGGTTTGGGTCGCGGGTTGGTTGCAAGTTGGTCACGGGGTGGGTCGCGGGCTCTCCACCTGGAAGGAATGCAAAAAAAGCCCGCCGCAGGCGCCAAAAAAGCCCGCCGCAGGCGCCGGAAATGGTGCTTTGTACCTTGAACGTGGTTTGGGTCGAAGTTGGGTCGCGGGTGGGTCGCGGGGTGGGTCGCGGGTGGGTCGCGGGTGGGTCGCGGGTGGGTCGCGGGTGGGTCGCGGGTGGGTCGCGGGTGGGCCGCGAGGTGGGCCGCGGGCGGGTCGCGGGGTGGGTCGCGGGTGGGTCGCGGGGTGGGTCGCGGGGTGGGTCGCGGGGTGGGTCGCGGGGTGGGTCTCGGGTGGGTCGCGGGTGGGTCGCGGGTGGGTGGCGGCGTGGGTCGCGGGTTGGGTCGCGGGTGGGTCGCGGGGCGGGTTGCGGTTGGGACGACGATAACAAACAACAACAACAAACAACAACAAACAACAACACGAATCGGCACCGCGGCATTCCACTTCAGCCACGCACCCAGGGACAGTGAATGACCGTTCCGCCCCCTCACTCTGACATACACGCATCCGTTTCAGGCTCGCACAGCCGCGCAACACATGACACACACACAGACAACATACTACTAGATTCAGGTACAGACATAGGATTCCAAGCTGTGAAGTCAGGGTCGGGAAACGTGGCAGACGTGACATATTCTCCAAACGGCAGTGGGTGCGCAGGAGGTGATATCGTTCTGTGTGCTTTTTCGACACCGTAGGGGGTGCTGGTGCGCAAGGGGTGGTCCGTCACCGCGGTCATTATACGCGCCAATGTCGCAGGGCCTGGCAGGCGTGGTACTTTCCCGATGCCAGGGGGGAGACGTAGGGGGTGGTACTTCATCGCGGCCTCTACACGCGCCAGTGTCGCTGGTCCTAGAAAGGGGCGTTTTCTCGACACCAGAGGGGGGGGCGCAGGGGGGGTCCCTCAGCGCGGTCTCCATGCGCGCCAATGCCGAAGGGCCTGGCAGGCGTGGCATTTTCTCGACACCAGAGGGGGTGCACACGGGGGTGGTCCCTCACCGCGGTCTCCGCACGTGCCAATGCTGTAGGGCCTAACAGGCATGGCATTTTCTCGGCATCAGGGGGGGTGCGCGGGGGGTGCTCCCTCAGCGCGGTCTCCATGCTCGCCAATGTCGCAGGGCCTAGCAGGCGTGGCATCTTCTTGACCCACGGGATGCGCAGGGGGCGGTCTCCCATTGCGGTCTCTATACGCGCCAAGGTCGCAGGGCCAGGTGTGGCACTTTCTCGACACCGGAGGAGGTGCGCAGGGGGTGGTCCCTCAGCGCAGTCTCTATACGCTTCAGCGTAGCAGGGCTAAGCAGGCGAGGCACTTTCTCGACACCAGGAAGGGGTGCGAAGGGGGTGGTCCCTCAGCGCGTTTTGTATACGCGCCAATGTCGAAGGGCCTGGCAGGCGTGGCACTTGGGGTGCGCAGGGGGTGGTGCTTCAGTGCGGCATCTATACGCGCCAACGCGCCAATGTCGCACGGCCAAGCAGGCGTGGCACTTTCTCGACATCAGAAGCGGTGCGCAGGGGGTGGTGCTTCAGCGCGGTCTCTACACGCGCCAATGTCGCAGGGCCTAGCAGGCGTGGTGTTTTCTCGACACCAGGGGGTGGCATGGCGTGGTCATTCACCGCAGTTGCTAGACGCGCCAATGACGTACGCTTCAGCAGGCGTGGCATTTTCTCGACACCAGAAGGGAACACGCAGGAAACGCGGCAGGCTTGACATTTTCTGGAGTTCATTTTTCTGGCATTATTTGCAGGCGTGGCAGCAAGGCAGGCACATGAGTACGCCAGCCCACTATCCGTGCCGGTCGTGCTCAGGGCACAGAGGTAGGCCAGCGAGGTGTGTGTTTTCATCATCAAGAGCTGTGGCCGCCTTGGCTCATACCGGCTCAGACCGCTCGGGTATGCACGCGGGCATGTTCGCGCCAGTGATTGTTTGTCAAAGGTGCGGCGGCGTCATGGCGCCGGTGCCCCACGATGCACCGTCGCAGCCGCGGGGGCTGCCGTGGCCGCGGCGGTCATGGCGCCCTGGTGTGGTGACGGCGCGCGTGGAGGCGCCGCCGAGAGTGCTGCTGCTGCCGCGGCCTCGCGGCGGCGGCGGAAGAGGGAACAAACGGAAGAACTTGACGGGTCGCCAGGCGAGCGTCGACGAGAAGGCGTGCGAGGAACAGTTTTCCGTGCAGGAGGTCTTGCCCTGTGAGGGCGCGCGCTGGGCCGCCAGCGCCTGAGCAGCACATTGAAGTGGACGACTGGCTGCCAGATCGATCGGTGACGATGGTGGCCAAGAGGACCCCCAGGAGATGGGCGTTGAGGATCGGTGGCCCGAGGAGGCCCCAGACAAGAAGCTGACCTGCCGTGCGTTCTGGGCGCAGCGTGGGCGGCCGCGGGCGCGGCAACAATTCCCACACCTCCCTAAGTGGTTTCTCCGCGATGGCAGGCTCAAGGAGCCCAAGCGGCGGTGGAGCTACAAGGGCGGCGCGTGGCATGTCGCTGTCCAGGTCGGCGCCCAGGACCGCGCGCTGGCCAGCGCGGGTCTCGCGAGATAGGCGCAGGTCTTTTGGGAGATCACCAAGGCACCGCTGGAGATGCCCAGCGGCTCTGGACGTTGAGACTGCAAAGAATGTGCAAAGGCGACTTCATCTTGTACACCATAATCGTCGGTCGTGGGGTCATTGGGGTAAATTGCCCGCTCAGGCCGCGTTCGCACCACCAGGCCTTCAAGGTGCATTTCCCGGCGAGGTCATCACGAGGGCCTTCGTCGCAGTCAACATGCTGATGTCATGGCGCCCAACTTCGCCCAACTGTGCCATGTCCGCGCTGCCGCCTCTGTGCGAGCAGCTTAAAAAATATACTAGAGACGGGCGCCGAGGTGAACCTGGATGGTTCGTGCGGAGCGGATATGCCTTGAGGTATGGGAACGTCTTCGTACACAGCGCATCCCATGCTCACCGCTGACGACTGGTTGAACTGATGGCTGGAGACGCCCCTTGCCAGGTGCATTGAGATGTCGCGTAAACGAGGCGCTGACGATGCAAGGAGACAGTGCTTGGTGAGGTACTTACAGGACCCTCTATGTGGTGGATTTCTCCGGGGCGACAGCCTGCCGCCGGCGGGGGCTCAGCGAGTTGACGAGGCTGGCATCGCGGGCGCCGACCCGGAACCTCCTTCAGGACAGCGTGCTTTTCCCGCGAAGGTCACGCCCGTGAGGCCTAGGCGCCGCCCGCGCAGGCTGAGGCCCCCTTCCATCCCCCTTTTCCTATGGCAGGCCAGACTTTAAGCAAAACTGCTGCCACCCCATGCAATTTCAGCGGGAAGCCGCTCGACGCACATCGCATCCCCAGAACTCATGGGACGCATCTGAGATATTATTAGCTTCGCTCAGGATCATAATTCATAGTTAAATAACAAGCTGAATAGCCTAAGCCAATCTGGTCTACCTCAAGAGTACTCAAAGTCTTACTACATGTAGCGCATGTGTCGATGGATGTATCAGTACTGGGCGGGTCGTGTCGGGCGGGCGGACCCAAGCGGGCCCGACGTGTCGGGTCGGGTCGGGCAGTTTCTAACAGGCGGGTCCGCGTGGGCGGGCGGGGCACTAAGGTGCGGGGCGCGCCGGAGCGAACACGCGTAAACCCAAACGGGCGGGTCAGGTCGGGCGGGCGTGCCCAGACAGGCGGGGCGGGGCGGGGCGGGGCGGGTCGGGCGGGCCCTAACGGGCTGGTCGGGTCGGGCGGGCGGGGCGCTGAAGTTTGGGGCGAATCAGAGCGAGCACGCGTGAACCCGAACGGGCGGGTCGGGTCGAGCCGGACGGACCCGAACGGGCGGGGGTCGGGTTGGGCAAACCCTAGCGGGCCGGTCGGGTCGGGCGGGAGGGACACTAAAGTGTGGAACGCGCCGGAGAAAGCGCGCATGAACCGTAACGGGCGGGTCGGGTCGGGCGGGCTCCCATATTTTTTGCCGACCCTGGGCATGGGAGCCTGCGCAAGGGCGGCGTGTATACGCAGGTCAGGCCATCCGGAAACAAGGCGGGTTGTTGTATTTCCAGTGTTGTTGCGGGGACGCAGCGGAGTTCCAGCCAACCCGCCGCGGGCAACAAGAGTTGGGAGAGGAGAGGAGGAATACGAGCAGCAATAGCAGAAGAGGAGAAGAGCTGGAGGAGAGGAAGAGGAGGACGAGGGCGAAACCCCACCCGGTCGAATGCCAACCCATGCGGAAGCCAACCTGGGCGAAACCCCATCCAGGCGAAAACCAACCCAGGCGAAAACCCACCCCGGCGAAAGCCATTTTCGGCCGAACGCCAACCCAGGCGAAAGCCCATTGCAGTGCATGGGCGTAAGCGAACCCGGGCGAAAGCCAACCCGGGCGAAAGCCAACCTGGGCAAAAGCCAACCGGGCGAAAACCACTTCGGGCGAAAGCCGACACGGACGAAAGCGAACCTGGGCGCAACCGGGCGAACGCGAACTTGGGCGACAGCCAACTGGTCGAAAGCAAACCCGGGCGAAACGAATTGGGCGACACAAGCCGGACGAAAGCCAATTTGGGCGAAAAGCATCCACGCGGCTGGACCCCTTTTGGCAGCGCCCCGGTCGCCACCTCTTGGCAGCGCTCCGCGCACCAGGGAGGGGTGGTCTTTTGAATCCCCTTTTCTCCCACAGTCAACCCGCACCGTAAGGATGGCCAGTCTTTCTATGGTAATTATAATTGCTCTTGCATCTTTGACCCTTCTGCCCATCCTTGGCCACACTCGTTGGCCGCGCCCCGCTGGAAGAGCTTCGAAGTACATAGGCGTCCAAGGCCGCCCTTGCATCCTTATGGCGCATTCATACGATAAGGGCCGACTGTCTGCCGCCGCCCGTTGCCGATTGTCGTGGGTTGCCCCTGTTCCGGTCGGGGGGCGAGGCTACCACGCCGACGCCATCATCACCTTGGGCGGCTGCGACAAGACAGTGCCCGGCGTGGTGATCCGCGGGGGGGAGGAGACGGCGATGAGCGTTGCTGGTTGGACGGGGAGGGGGAGGAGGAGGAGGAGGAGGAGGAGGAGGAGGAGGAGGAGGAGGAGGAGGAGGAGGACAAGGAGGAGGACAAGGAGGAGGAGGAGGAGGAGGAGGAGGAGGAGGAGGAGGACAAGGAGGAGGAGGAGGAGGAGGACGAGGAAGGGTGTTCGCGATGGTCGTCAGAGTTGATGGCCTATCGCACCGCTCCTGGGGTCTTGGCTCAGTTGTTGTGAGCGCTGAGTCCGCTTATCCTCCTCCTTCCTCATTCTGCCTTTCTGGTTCCTGCTTTCTCATTCACCTACTCTCTCCTCCGCATTCTCTTCTTCCTCCTCTCTTCTCCCCTCACTCGTCAGCCCCCCATGACTCATCGTTTCTACTACCATTCCCCGTTATTCCTTGAAATCTCGGCTACATCCACCTCCTTGAAAGTAACTTGCCGCGTCCCCGTTACCACCCTTCTCCTTTTCCCACGTCCTTGTCATCCCTGGCCCTCGTCCTCTCCTCCTCTCGTACCGCGAAGCGCTGACCTATCACGATTGGCGCCAGGGATGAGGGCCCTGAGCAATCAGTTCGAGTTTTGTTGGGGGGGAGAGGTCTGGGAGGTCAAGTGGATTTGGTGTGCCTCCAGGGGCGCCCAGGATTAGGGTAAAGCATAATTGGGATCAAGTGGAGGAGCAGACGGACCAGAGTAAACCCAACATGCATGAAAGATGTTGTTACAATCATGAACGGGCAAAGAACGGTATGCAATAAGCTTTTAACTGTCGGGGACGTCTGTTCCAGGGCGGCTGGAAAGGTTCTACTCTGACGGTGGTACCGTAGGTGTACATCTTTTCCAGCCGCCCAGCGGCAGGCGTCCCCGACAGCGGAAAAGTTGATGTTATACCGTTCTTCGCCCGCTGAAAACCATCCTCCCGTCTCAAGTTTCCGTTTCATAAGTCCGTGCACGTTTTCCTTTTCATTCACGCAGCGGCCCATGTCAGGACCAGTACCTTGTTTGTGTGTGTGTTGCCATTCAGGCGAGAGCCCCGTTCTGAAGAGGAACCGATTGCCTTGCGTCATTCCAGCGGTGCGTGAGGAAAGAGCAAAGGTACAATCGTACAATTCGACGAGGTGTCGAGCGAGGCCCCCGGTCCAACGAAGGACCGCCGCACCCTTGTGTAACCCTTGCGAAGGCTTCGACTTCGGCGATGATAACCGCGAAAGTCCCCAGCGAAAGCTTCATGCTGCACCATGCGTGCCAGCTTCGGATCTTACGCTTGGCAGAAAGCTCTGCGAGCGCCCAGTGCTGAAAAGGAAACACCCTGCTCTAGTGCAGCTCTTTTGGATGTTCAAGCTTCCCTCCTCCTCCACCCCTTTCCTCCTCCCCCTCCTCCATCTCCTCCTCCTCCTCCTTTTCCTTCTCCTTCTCCTCCTCCTCCTTATGATGCTGAAAAGAACATGCCCTTCACTCGCGCACTTGTTGTACATCTTCAAGCTTCTCCTGGCTAAATATTCAAAGAAAACTAGCGGGAGTCCCAGTTTGAAAAGGAACCGCACATTCCTCGGAAAGGCTGCCAGCGTTTGAAACACATATGCGCGGCGCTACGGCGAGGGCCTCATTTTGAAAAAGAATTGTCCTACATGTTTGAAGCTGTTGCAAGCGAACAAGGCCGATGTTCGCGGCGCAAAGGCGAGAGCCCCATTTTGAAAAGGAACCACC